GGGGAGCTTTGACCTTGCTGAGGCCATGGGAGTTGGGGCCATCCCCTGAAAGTCAGAAACTCATGTCTTCAAGCTCAAGGGCCAGTGCGGCTCCCGAAGCCAAACATGAGAGTTTTCTGAACTGGCCGCTTGCTGGTCGCCCCGCCCTTGGCCAGCACAGCAGCCAGAGCCCGCAGGCTGTCCCAGGTGAGGAAGGAGGAGGAAGCAGAGGGGCGGGGAGGCGGGGGGATGGGGATCCCCTGGGAAGCCTGTCGGTTTGGGTTCCCATGGCCCCAGTTGCCCAACATCCTCTTCCTCCTCTGCTCGTGGTCAGCAATTTGGGCGCGTTCCCTGGCCTCTCCCAGCCACTCCCCCTCCCTGGGCAGCCACCCCCCCCAGAGGCACGGAGTGTGCCCGAAGTCTGGGGGCTAATGGGGACGCAGATGTTAAACATGACCGGCGGGTAAGGAATCTGGGCTGTGAAGAGTAGAAATCGATGCTCACACGTGTGACAGTTCACAAACCACACTCACGTGACGTAAATGAATTCACGTCTCTGTGCTCACATGGGCTTCCTGCGAAGTGGGTAGGGTGCTTAGCAATGTCCCCATTTCACAGAAGGGAAGACTCCCTGGACAGGGTGCACAGGCCCTAGAATGCAGCTCAGGGCCAGGACACAGGGCAGGACCGCCCCCCTCCCCATTCCCCTCGATCTCTCTCCATGTCACAGTCAGGTCCTCGCAGGCCTCCCCTCACCCGCCTCCCGCCCTGGTCCTGCTTCCTGGAGGGATCCCAGCGTCTTCCCTGTGATTCAGGAGGCATCCCCCTTAGACGCCACTATCCCTGGGCGCCCCGGGGAGCTGGGACGGGGTGATGCCGCCCCTGCTTTCGGTCCCAGGTGTGCACACCCCTGGCCTGTGATGGAACCTGGTTGTCACCCAGGTGGAGGGCAGGAATCTGAATCGCTCAGCTGGGCGGGCTTTAACCTGCCCTCACCATTTTAAGTTCTATCCCTTTCTTCTCCCTGGGGGTGGGGTCTGGCGAGAGGAGATGGAGGCCTCTATGCCCAGCTTTCTCTGTATCGAACCCCAATTCTGGCTCCCTGTCCCCGGGAAGTGCAGTGGGCACGTGAGCCTGGGGCTGTGGGGGCCCCGTGTGGACAGGGGTGCAGGGGGAGGGGGCTCAGAGGGACCGGGAGAAGCAGGGGCATCTTCTGAGGAGATGGCTGGAAGGGTCATCCCTCTGGCTGTGGGTGCCCCATCCCTGTGCCTGTGACATTGAGGAACCCCAAGACTGTTTCTCCAGGTAGAGCCAGGAACAGGCCCATGCCTGGTGGGCCGCTCCCCTCCTGCTCTGCGCCCATGGGTGCCCTGCTGAGCTCCCAGGTCCCCATCAGAACAGCTCTCCATCCCCGGTCACCTGTCCAAGGTGGGACAGGGCCTGCAGGGAGTGCTGGCTCTGTGGATGGTGGGGGCTCCGGGCCTCTGGCTGGGCTGCCCCCCCCCTCTGCTCACCCACAGCTTCCTCTTCCTCTCCATCTGCACCACAGCACAGCCAGGACCAGGCGGGAGAGCGTGTCACAGGCCATCGGCGCCAGCTGGTTGTGGACTGTGAGGTTACAGATGCGGCCATGCTGGGGCAGCTTCCCCAGAGGTGGGCAGGAGGGTGGGGCCTGGGCAGTGTCCAGAGTCCAGCAGAGAGGCAGGCCGGCCCGATGGGGCAGGGGCAGGCCGGCAATGCTGGTCTCACCCAGGCTCCTGGGGCAGGGAAACCAGTACTGTGTCCCCCTCCCTGCCGCCCCTGCCCTGCTGCTTCTCATGCTGTCGGTCCATTTGCCTCATGGACCTTGCAGTGATTAATCCCCGAGTCATGTCCATTCAACCACGACCAAGCACTTGGCGGGGGGGGAGGCATTGTCAGCAACAGCTCAGGCAGCTGCCCAGCTCTTCTCACAGCAGCCTCATCACGTGGCCCCTCCTACCCCTCGCTGGGGGTGGGGCACAGCCTCCCCACCTTTAGGCCCCACTTGAGCCCCTCACTCAGGGGAGGAAGCAGCAGAGCGAATAGGGAGCCACGGACTGCCCGGGAGAGCGGGCAGCTCTAACCTGCGCTACCCGGCAGAGGGAGGTTCTGTTGAGGAGTCCCACAACTCAGTCACCCCCAAATCTTTTCTGGGGCTCCCACAGTTTGCAGGACTCAAAGCTGCTGCAAGTCTGCCCGGAGAGCCCCCACCCAGCACCAGCAGCACCTCCCCACTGGACCCCGAAAGCTTGGGTCCACACCGGGAAGAGGACCCAACCCAGTGAGAGGCCTTGTGGTTGCAGGTCCCCCTCCCCCTGAGAAAGGGGGCTCAGGCCTGGGCTCGGGTCTGCCCGTGGTTAGCAGGGAGCAGCAGCAAGGGGGCCACTTCCTTGTTTTCCTGACATCATGTGGTAACCTGACATCACCCCTCTCTTCCTTAGGGTTTGGGGCAGGCTGGGTGAGCAGGATGCGTGTGGCGGGGACCGGTTCCCCCAGCCCCTTTCTCTCCTCCGGCTCGGATCCCATAGATTACACGTAGAGCCTACTTCTCACCATCGAATCCTGTTTCCCTGTTGCTTTTCATTAAAGATGTACTCCCCGGGAAATGCCTACGGATATTACTACCTCCCATCTGAGTATTTTCAGAATTGTTATACTGCTTATTCCCACAGACGAGCTAGTATCATCGACATTTTAGTTTTGTTCGAGGTCACCCCGAAGGTGACGGATGAGCCACAGGAGAACCCAGCCTCCTGCTTCTCAGTCCTGGGTGTCCCCCTCTTCACCCACCGTGACATTCACAACCGTAGCCAGGCCTTTCGGGGTTGAATTGCAGAACACACATTTCGGGGAAACTTACGCGTATTTGACAAGTAAGCCACCAGAGGTGACAGCCCTTCTCCGTTTCCCGTCCAGCTCTGGTCTTCACAGTGTTCGCGGGTCTGTGCCTGCATCGTTCTAGAAATCCTCCTGATTCCTACCAAGCTGTCCACGGAACCTTCCAGAAGGAGAGCCAGCGAGGCTCCCTGGTTCCCTTGCACTCCCGGGGGAAGGTGATGGGCCAGAAGGGCTTGCAGAGTCCCTGCTGTGTCCTGCCCTGAGCTGGGTCCAGCTGGGGCCGTGCAGGGTGAAAGGTCACAGCCTGAGGACCTGCCGGTCACGCTGAGGCCACGTTTCCAAGACCAGACAGCATTCAGGGACTCGGAGGCCACTGGGCCAACTTGGGGGTCAGGCCTGGGGCCTGGAGCTGGAGGCTCATGGAAAGCGAGCTCCCCAGCCCGGTCAGCCTGGCTCAGTGGTTGAGCGTCAACCTATGAACCAGGAGGTCACGATTCGATTCCAGGGCACATGCCCGGGTTGCGGGCTCGATCCCCAGTGGGGGTGTGCAGGTGGCAGCCGATCGATGATTCTCTCTCATCATTGATGTTTCTCTCTCTCTCCCTCTCCCT